CACGGCCGAAACTCGACAAAACTGGGCTGGTGGTGACGCCTAGCCGCCCAGTATGGTAGCTAGATGTGCTCAGCAACGTCTTGGGGAGACTATAGTTTATCATTTATATAGTGGTTTATATAGTTTATATTTATATTTATTATAGACTCAGTTTACAATGTCGATTACTGTAAACAAAGGCACCAAATGCAATCACAAAATGTATCATACGACTTAGAGAACGACCGCATCGAGTGACCAAATCGGAAACATTGCGTCTCAATCAACATGAACAGAGCAGTTCATACGAAATATGCAGCCAGATGACAATTCGCTGACTTTGAACATCTAAGTATGTTTGAAACTATGCAAAGATATGAACAGTAAAATAAGCATATGTCTGCAGCCACCACTACTGCATGAGTCATGACAGCTCACCATCTTCTAAGAGGCATGCAGTCTTTTTCTGGAAAAATATCAGCGACAATATTATGGCTTGACATGGGACACGACATAACATTCTGGAGCAATATATAGCAGCGCGAAATTTAGTATGTAGCATAGCAATTCGGTGAAGACGTGCTTGTCCAAGGCCAGAGTAGCGTAAAATTTTTGAAACAGGCATCATGGTCATCCTTGGCGGTACCCCAGACTTTAGCAAATGGATGCTGAGAAAAGAATACTTCCAGCGTTAGAATCTTCGGAAGTAATGCATTTTTAGCCTGCTCAACGCTCAGGGTGTAAATAAACATGCACTTAATGAAGAGCCGGACACTTTAATTAAAACGCGTTTCATCAAAAGCACCACACATGTCGCCAACGCAGCCCGTTCCTGAAAGGTATTTTGCTTACGACTCGGCCTGTGGAACTACCATTCTGAGAGCGCACGCGACACTCTGGTGAGGGTCCTCCAGCTATCAGACCACTTCTGGCAGCGACCCGTCTCCAGAGCCACCTCCGCCCATTCATTGATGAATAGGAAGTGGTCCTTTGATAGTCGTGCGTCCAGAACAGCATCGCTTGGAGTGTTGCAACAGTGGAGTGTTGATAATTTTGGGACATCCAATGTGAATATGCAGGGCGCCCCAATTCACTGGATTGATGCAGTAACGTTCGTAAACAGCCAATGGATTCCCAGCTAGCAGAATCTCACGCATCACTTCACTAGTTCATCCAGACAGCCCAAAAAAGAACAATTCGTCAACATCGGCAAAGTACCTACCTAGGTAATGCACTGACTATTTAGGCTCACCGCATGAAGGAGCGAATGAAGCAGCACCTAGTCATACACCAAAGACATGCGCACGGCCAACACTTCGCTTCTCGGAAACCTAGGTAGGAGTCACATTGCAATCATATCCGTGTGGACAAGGAGCCACAATCACATAGTAAGGGCAACTCAAAATTGGGTGTGCACGGCCAACAACTGCCAAACAGAGAATCGGAGTGCGAAGAAGGAACGAACGAGAGAAACACTGCCCTGTCCTTAACTGAACTGTACCTTACATACCGACAGTTTCCAGCAAGAACATCCAAGTGTCAAACTTTCGAAAATGAGATCTTTATCCCGTTCGACTCAGCTCGACGAGCTAAGTCGAATGGTATAAAAATCTCAATTTCGAAAATTTGACAGTTTAGAATGTTCTTGCTGGGAACGGTCGATACATACAGTCTCGAATTACGATAATATAGTCGTTAGCAAAGCTACTGCGAGGAGAAATGTATGCCCATTGCCCAGTGCCCACCTGTAGAAATATTTTTTTTCTACGCAGCCTTTCGATTGAAATAAAAACCAAACGACTATTCGAGTTAGCATACAAGGCTATCACCAACCACTCACTCCGAAGTTACATCATTAATTGCATACCATCACGGAGAACGCTTGAGCAGTAGTTTTGAGAGTCAAATCACACCACCGCTTTGCCTTCCCTGCCACTAATGGAAGCGCAGTCACTGGCGGGGCGACAGTTAAGCCGATTTCATTATTCTCGGGACCATCTAAAGAGTCGAGCGTCGACAGATTCCGAGAGGAAATGTCCCATTTGATTCACCACCAGGGCACCAAAAGATATTTTATCTGGCCAGGAGCAGACGACGTTCAAATGACAGGGGCGTGGAACTATTCTAATATTGCACACACTTCTTGCGTGATGGTGTCCGTATGAGTCACAAAAATTGAATAATATTGTGTATCTATTTAAACTTCAATTTAGTCCGATACACTTAACCACATGCAAAGACAATATTAACAGCATGAAAACTTGTCAGGCCTACCCATACCATATCGCACGCATTTCCCTACTTGTAACCAGCCTCATGTAAATTTGATGTAAATCCCTTTCCGATACACCTTTAAAACGCTGTTCAGCAGAGGAAGCAAATGCTGCTTCTTCAGGGTAACCTTCTTCAGGGTAAATTTTGGACGCTTCTGAACTTTTGTTTTCAATACAGATGTGTCCGGACAGCCAGCTTCTTAACAATCAATACCAACAAATATTTCGAAACAAGCGATTGACATAACTTAAAGGTAGTGTGCCACCTTCCAATGATTTCCCATTTTATTTTTCCTAGGATAAGAAGCTTCTGTTTTTACCTAATATCGCAAAAAATCAAAAATGGGCCTAAAATAGTGCTTTTTTCGCCTAAAAGTTTATCGGTTTTCGATATGTATAACAACTGTAGTGGGCTGACCTGCAAACAGGCGTCGGCAACAATCGCGAATGCGGCGCACATGTGACAATAAGCAAAGGTTATTATAGAGTTACGACGTACGGGAATGAGTTATCAGCTGTCTAATCGTAGACAACACAATGTCGAATTTAAACTGTAAGCCTGTATTGGTATTGTTTCTTTAATTTGGCTGTCGAACATTAATTTATGGTTTGAAATATTATTGTAAAATAACTGATATGAAACAGCCGTCTCTAAAGTTATGACCCCATCTCACCACATGAAAGTGGCAGAAATGACAATGATCAGCTGACGCATTTTTCTTGGCCGAAGTCAGAGCGCGCGGCCCGACGCACCACCACCGCACCACAAAGTATGAGCAGATGCCGCGCCCAAAGCCAGGGCCCCGGTAACGTGACGTAGCCGAGTCGGGGCAGCGTGCGCTGACCCAAGCCGGGGCCGCGGCTTTGGGCGCGGTCTACCGCATCCCCGCGGGCAGCCCCAGGCTATCACATGACACCGGGAGGACGCGCGGCCCCGGCTTGGGTCAGCGCACGCTGCCCCGACTCGGCTACCTCACGTTACCGGGGCCCTGGCTTTGGGCGCGGTCTACCGCACCACCTATCAGGCGTGTTCGAAACCGCAGGAGATGATGATGAACAGGTTTATCGAAACTTGATTGGATGAGCCTATCGGTAATAGCGATTTCAGTGTGTGCATTTATTGTTCATAGTGGTGTGAAATGTGGTTGGGGTACGACCGACAACCCGTCGGGGCGAATTTCGCACTGGGGTACTCAAAATTTGAAGAATTTAAGACGTTTCCATGAGTTTTGAAGGTATGGATAAGTTCTAAAAATCCGGTTCTCCTTATCTGGGCCATTAACTCCATACGGTCCAGGAAAGCTGGCACACTACCTTTAATCGTCCACTCCCTTACTAACGCACCCAAAACATTATTTCACAAATAATTTAACTAAAATAACCTAACCTAGCCGATGATCAGTTACAAACAGCGAACAAATGCCATCAACCGGCGCCAAATGGTTGGCTGATGAGTGCCCGCTATCGCCCTGACCAGGTGCGGCTGGCTGACCGGCGCTACTCGCCGACCCATCGGCTGCCGCCCCCCCCCCCCCCCCGCGCCGCGGGATTTCTGACGTCACCATCGGGCGTCCGACAATCGATAGGGCGTTTATCGACGGACGACCGGCCGGCGGCGCCGTCACAGTCCGCGGCCGCGTCACGTAATGTCACCGCTCCGTCACTAACCGAAACACAACACCGGCTGCATACCCGGGTCACTGTGGATACACCACGAGTGGAAACAAAACCCCTCCTGGATACACGGGTCACAATGGATACGTTAGGTAAAAACAGACATGTGCAAATAACGGAAACACGATCCCGGCTGAATACCAGAGTCACTATGGATACACCACGAAAGGGAACAGTAGCCCTTGATGGACAAAGAGTCACAGACCTTTGTAACTGATGGAAACACAGCCATGGCTGGATACAGAGCTCACTGTGTATGCGTCACGAAATGGAAACAGTAGCTTTGGATGAAAACAAACGCGTGTCCTAGGTGGTCAATGGAAGCACGAGCTCCACTGGATGCAAGGGTCACTGTGGAGTGTGGATGCGACACCGATAGAAAAATAGCCCTTGGTGGATGCCATGATTCAGCAATGGCGGTAACACAGTCCTCGGCTGGAGCACGGGTACGTAAGGATTGAAACAAAAATCCGAAAAGAAACAGGGAATCGTCACGGAAGGAAACACAACCGCTATCTGGATACAGCATAGGAGTTACAAACCGAAAGAAAAACTGACTGGATAATTGGATACAGACATGTGTCAAAAACGAACTAACGAACTTGGCCGGATATGGGGTTTCGCAACGGACTTACAGTCCCAGTTGTCAGCCATAGAAGGGTTCAGAGAGTAGAGACTATGGTAACCGTACTGAGTTGACAGAATCCCACTTCCTGAATAGGAGAATTCACCACTAACAGAAACACGGTCCTCGGCTGGATCAGGGATTCGTTACGAACGAATTTGCAACCCCAGCTGTTGACAGCATCAGTCACTGACAGAAAACGGTAATGATGGAAACACAGCCCCGTCTAGAGTTGGATCAGGGAGCCGCTGCACTGATGGAAACAGGCCAGATGGGCCTACAGGGATTCGTTGCATTTAAAACAGGACGCAGAACACGGCACATATTGCCTAGCTTATTTCCATTTTCCCTTATCTTGTCAGTCACGATCCCATCCTCCCTGTGACGGCTAAGACCGATAACTCGGCACGTGGAGCCCCCCCCCCCCTTCCTCCCCTCCCGTCACTCACCAGGTGGAGCACGGTGTTGACGATTTCCTTGTCCTCCATCTGACCGACCTCGACCAGGCCGATCAGCACGGCGAACCGCAGGTCGTCCGTCATCGTCGAGCGCATGATGTCCGACGAGGTGCGGATGCCGCCCTGCTCGCCGGCCTCTGGCTCGCCCCCGGCGGCCGCCATGGCGCGCGCGCGCCGCGCACCGCCGGCGGCGGACTCACTCACTCACACACGCACTAGGAGCGGTGTCTGCACGCACCGGGTCGGTTCACGGTGCCGTCACCGCGACCATCGCACTGGCACACACCGGTCGACCACAGCGGGCCGCACTGCACTGCACTGCACTGCACTGAGACGTCGCGCGGTGGGAGCGAGAGTTGAGACACGCCACTAGTGAGGCTCACACAGGAGAGTCACCAGTAGCAGTCAGATGTGGCTTGGTAGCTTCAGAGGACGGTAGACAGATTTATCCTGGAAGGAGAGTGCCAGTCAGTTGACATGTCACAATTGATCTTTATTCAACAGAAAAAAGAGACAACAGTACCTACATCAAAATGCTTTGGTTGTCTTTTTTAAACTTTTTAGACTCAAGCAGCATGCTCAGTCATATGCCACTGAAAACAGAATAAATGTTCTAAGCCATGCAGTTTAAGCAGTACCTGTCAGATTGGCAGCCCAGATGAGCACACATCCATCATAACTTATTCCTAGCTCAGCTCAATTGTACTTCATGTTCATCCTTCATCCTGATTCATGAACATCATTCAACAGCACTTCACTCAAAGTTATGGTCCTTGACCTTGTTCATTTTTCAGTCAGGTGTGATCTGTCATGATAAGGATAACCATTTGAGCTTCCTTTCATTTCAATATAAAAAGCATGTCTGATTTACATATGGATTGTTGCAATGAACCAATGACCACTAGGAACCATAATTGTTACCTAAAGATAGGTAGGTACAAAATCTTACTTGAACAGCCTTAGGATATCAAGCCTGTATTTGTATGCTCCATTACAAAAACAAAATTACAAATGAAAATAAAAGATAACCACTATTCCTTGGACTGCTATAAGAGTAAGAAAGGAGGCAGCTTGAATTCGGTAACATTAGCTTGCAAAGATCATGTCGTATGTGTGTCTTACACTCCGTGCCTTGTGTTTCAGATGTTGCTAATAAAAGCCTAGCATCAGGCATTGTCTCTGAATCACCACAATTTTATTAGCAACATATCTAGAAGAGTCAAGAGTCAACATATCGAGAGACGGATCATCATGGACAAGTACTTGAAGCCTCCGGAGCTCAATATCGACCCAAAGTCTCCATCAGCTGAAGACGAATGGGACATGTGGATTGCCAAGTTCAACGACTTCTTTGATTCCCTGGATTCCTCTCTCAATGCAGACAAGCTGACCCTCCTGCGTGCGTTCATGTCTTGTCCATGCTACAAGCTCATCAAATCAGCCACTACGTATGTGGAAGCTGTGGATCTGCTCAAAGCCAGGTTTGTGAAGCCGCGCAGTGAGATCTATGCGAGACATCGATTGGCATCCAGGAAACAGCAACCTGGTGAGTCACTTGATTCATATCTGGAAGAACTTGAGTCATTGGCCTCCCAATGTATGTTTAAGGCTGTAACAGCTGAACAGGCTAAGGAAGACGCTATCCGTGACGCCTTCATCAGTGGTCTATCCTCGAACCAGATACGACAGCGTCTTCTTGAGAACCTCACACTGAGCCTGGAAAAGACAGTATCTCAAGCTCGTTCGCTGGAGATGGCTCAGAGACAGTCAGAAGCGTACAACAGTTATGGTGACTACAGCTCTGTCACTGCGCATGTGCATCAAGAGCAGCAGGCTACTCCAACTCAGCAGGTGTCATCTGAAGCCACTGATGAGGTATCTGCTGCTCTCCTTCGCCCCTGCTACTTTTGTGGTGGACCGGGTCATCCACGCAATAAGTGCAGGGCCAGAAATGTCTTCTGTTCGAACTGTGGAAAGCAGGGACACTTCGCAAAAGTGTGTCAGTCCGAATCAGTTGAACCGTCGTTGTACGCACCTCGTCCTCAAGTTCCCCGCCAGCCACCACGTGTGCCGGGGGCAGGTCGTGGGCGAGGGGCTGCTTCGGCCAGGGCTCAAACCTCTGCTGCGATGCCAATCATATCAGCCATCCAGAACTGCTCTCTTCCAAGTTTGAAATCGGCTATGATGTCTGTGTCTGTTGATGGACGTGACCTGGAAGCTCTCGTTGACACTGGAAGCTCACAGAGTTTCATCAGCACTGAAGTTGCGAGGAGCATCGGTCTACACATTACTCCAGCACAGGGAGTAGTATGCATGGCCTCAACTCAGCACCACGTGGATGTTGTTGGGCAGTGCACGGTGAAGCTACGAGTGGGAGAGGAAGAGTATACTGATTACAAGCTCTCAGTCATGGATGGGCTTTGTGCTCCTATACTCCTGGGTCACGACTTCCTGGGAGCTCACGACAGTGTATGCCTCACCTTTGGAGGTTCCCGACCATCCCTGTCCCTGTGCGGTCTGGTGCCGGCTGTGGTGAGGCCGCCCTCACTGTTTTCAAATCTGACTCCTGACTGTCATCCCATCCAGGCCAAATCTCGGCGCTACTCATCGTCAGAGTTGAAGTTCATCGAGGACGAGACGGCTAGACTGCTCAAAGAAGGCATCATCACTCCCAGTACTAGCCCCTGGCGAGCTCAGGTCCTGATTGTGCCATCCACCAGCGGCAAGCGCCGGATGGTGGTTGACTACTCACAGACCGTGAACAGATTTACCGAGTTGAACGCGTACCCACTACCGAGAATCAACGAGATAGTTGACAAGATCGCGCAGTACTCACACTTCAGTACTGTCGACCTGGCCAGCGCCTATCACCAAATCCCGATTTCGTCAGAGGATCGCAAATACACAGCATTTGAAGCTGGAGGCAAGCTGTACGAGTTTCTCCGTATCCCGTTTGGTGTCACGAACGGCGTGGCATGTTTTCAGCAGATTCTCGATGACATCATTCAATCAGAGGGTCTGAAGGACACATTCGCCTACGTGGATGACGTCACCATCTGTGGTCGCGACAAAGAACAGCACGATGCCAATCTGAAGCGGTTTCTGGATGCTGCTGCGAAGTACTCGCTCACAATCAATCAGGCGAAGTGCACCTTCGGGAGCACATCTGTCAAGATACTGGGGCACGTGATCGAGAACAGGACCATCCGACCAGATCCAGACAGGCTACAGGCACTGATGGAGCTGCCTGTACCGCAAGATGCAAAGTCTCTGAAGCGCGCAATGGGTATGCTGTCGCACTACTCGAAGTGGGTTCCGGGGTTCTCGGAGAAGTTGCAACCGCTCTCTGCTACCTGCAGCTTCCCGCTGTCTCCGGGAGCCATCCACGCGTACGAGACGCTGAAGAGGGACATCGGTTCGGCCACCATGTCGGCCGTCGACGACTACGCCACGTTCGTTGTCGAAACTGACGCTTCAGACAGCGCAATCGCCGCAATACTGACTCAGAACGATAAGCCAGTGGCGTTCTTTTCTAGAACCTTGAACCCCTCTGAAAAAAGGCAACCATCCATCGAGAAAGAAGCTGCAGCAATCGTCGAGGCGATCCGCAAGTGGCGCCATCTGCTGATCGGAAAACACTTCAAGCTGTTAACTGACCAGCGTTCAGTCTCGTTCATGTTTGACAAAACATGCAAAGGTCGAGTCAAAAACGACAAGATCCTTCGGTGGCGTCTAGAACTGGCCTGCATGAGTTTCGACATCGTCTACCGACCTGGAATCTACAACACCGTGCCAGACATGCTGTCCAGGGCCGGACAGGTATGTGGAGCTGTTTCGGGCGGGTCCCGAGAGGCTATTCGTCACCTACACGATCAGATGTGCCATCCTGGTGTCACTCGCTTGAGCCATTACCTGCGCTGTCAGAATATTCCTTTCTCAGTGGACGATGTCAGAACTGTTATATCGCAATGTCGAACTTGCAGTATATGCAAGCCCTCTTTCGTTCGGTTGTCGGGTACCCTGATCAAGGCCACGCGTGTGTTTGAACGTCTAAGTGTAGATTTTAAAGGACCACTACCGTCTTGTACTGAGAGAGCTTATTTGTTCGTGGTGGTGGACGAGTTCTCGCGTTTCCCCTTTGCGTTTGCTGTGAAGGACACGTCTGCCGAGACCGCCATTCAGTGCCTGACATCACTTTTCACAGTGTTCGGCACTCCCGAGTTCGTGCACTCCGATCGTGGAGCCGCTTTCACATCAGTGCGGTACAAGGAGTTTCTCGCGATGAACCGGATTGCCCAAAGCTTCTGTTCAGCGTACAACGCTCCAGGTAATGGGCAGACTGAGCGATACAATGGTACGATTTGGAAGGCTGTAACCCTGGCATGTCATGACAAAGGCATCAGCCTCCGAGAGTGGGAGACTGTGCTTCCATTGGCGCTGCATAGTGTGCGTTCGCTGCTCTGCACCGCCACGAATCAGACTCCTCACGAGCGCTTCTTCTCACACCCTCGCAGGTCGGCATCGGGCCAGGCGCTCCCTACGTGGCTACTCGGTGCTGATCGTGTTCTGCTGAAGCACACCAATCGAGCCAGCAAGTACGAGCCGCTGGTGGATGAGGTTGAGCTTGTACATGTGACTCCAACATACGCTAAAGTTCGACTACCTAGCGGTAGAGTGCCTACTGTCTCTCTTCGGCATCTGGCTCCAGTTGCACGTTCTGATGGTGCGGAACCGACGTGTGAGGCTGGATCTGAGGTCGATGTTGGAGTTGGACTGGGTTCGTCCGATGACGGGAGTGGTTGCGTCGAGACAGAGATGGGCCCTGCTGAGGCTGAGCAGGCTGTGGTGGGCCCAAGCCCGCACTGTGATCGCAATGGGGCTATGAGGCAAGAGGCAACCAGTGTTCAAACTGAGAATACTGATCTGCGTAGGTCGACGCGAGTTAAAAGGAAGCCACGGTGGATGGACGACTATGATGCGTGATGTGTGAGGTATACGATGCTGCGCGTTGCGTTGCTTTAGGATCATTCGCTTTGGTTCATTTGCATTTTATGCATTTGCTAGGGAGAAGTTATGTTCTTTTTGACAGGGGGTGAATGTCGTATGTGTGTCTTACACTCCGTGCCTTGTGTTTCAGATGTTGCTAATAAAAGCCTAGCATCAGGCATTGTCTCTGAATCACCACAGATCATTTTATCTTTTACATCTATTTTTAGTGTTTTTAGTAGTATCAGTATTTTGTCAATGTGGTGTACGCTGTCATTGTTCTTAGCTAGGTATTACAATTGATGCCAGCGTGCTCTTATGTAGGTATTTGAATGAGCTTTCACATGCCGTTTACCGACTGTGGAAAATGTCTGTTTCAGTTTTGTCAAAGTTTGCAATGGCCATAATTGCAATTGTGACTAGGTTACTGCAACTGGGTGCCAAAAGTATCTAACCTCAGATCTTACAACATGACATGAAATCCACTGGCATGTTACCCACAATGACATCAGTCGGGGAAACTATGGTAAAATCTGCTATTTTTAGCAGTCTGCTATTTTTAGCAGAAATCTGCTAAAAATGGGTACGCATGTGACATCATCGTACCCAAATATAGCAGATTTGGGTACGGCCCCCGACAAAAGCAGATCTGCACCCTAATTGAAGCAAATGCGCATCAAATGCCTGGCAGATTCATGATGAGAATAGTGCTGAGAGTGTTCTCTGCTATTTTTGTTCAGATCCGACTATTTTCAAATTCATTATTTGAAAATAGTCGGATCTGAACAAAAATATCAGAGGACATCCTCAGCACTATTCTAATCATGAATCTGCCAGGCATTTGATGCGCATTTGCTTCAATTAGGGTGCAGATCTGCTTTTGTCGGGGGTCGTACCCAAATCTGCTATATTTGGGTACGATGACGTCACATGCGTACCCATTTTTAGCAGATTTCTGCTAAAAATTGCAGACTGCTAAAAATAGCAGATTTTACCATAGTTTCCCCGACTGACATTGGCTCTGAAAGCAGGCCGTTGATATTCATATTTACTTTGCGACCAGTCACCAAGTTACTTTTGGTGCTGTCCCTAAGAAGCAAATCACATGATACCCTTTGAACTCCTGATTTGATATCTGATCATTATTCATGGCACAAACAAGTTTAAGAGCAATTAATTCAAGGGACGTACTTAAAATTCGGCTTCAATCAATTCAACATAAAGCTTAAAAAGCTTACCTGACCATTCAGTCTCACCCACAACTTCGACACGATCTTCACACACGATAAGACGAAAAGCTGATCAAGTGGCTATACCCGTCAGATTTTTGCAACTAACAACACCCTCGCACCGTAACCTCTCCCACTGGAGATTTGTTTGTGTCCCTTTCCGTGTTTTCGTGTCGTCGGCAACTGCGCCATATTTGTCCCACCTGGCTTGATGTATAGAGATGGACAATGCAAGGCAAATCTAGTGGGAGATTGTGCAAGTACCAAAACAAAAAAGAGAGGTTCTTCACGGTTTTTTCATTAGCGATTACATGGATTGCGGTTAGGGCGCCGCCGGATAATACATTGTTTCCACGGCGACGCTGGCCATAATAATGATAATTGATAATAGGAAGTTGATCTGAGGATAGGTCTTGTTTTGTTGTAGGTAGGTACCTATACCTACATCTTTTGACTCTTGGGCTTTGGCATGGGCGGATTCAGGACTCAGGAGGACGATCTACGGACGCTAAGTAGGTTACGGCTAGAAAATAAGCGAGGGGCGGGCCAGCCCAGAGGGCCCGCCCCGCGCCCCTGTCGGCCCTGGCCCGGCCTAGGGGCGCCGCGCCCGTATTCGCATGTTTGGTGAGTTCATGTTTATTGCCTGTTCAGTTCAAGCTTTTTTAAGATTCAGTGTTACTCGAGCCGAGCAGCTCCTCATCAATAAGTATGCTTCTACAAAGTACTGGTGTTGGCAGCGGCAGGCTACTTGCTGACTGCATTAGTACTCACTTCCGTGCAAGCTCCTGTGCCGATCTTGACCTTCTCTAAGTAACTTTCTAGTATAGTTTGTATTAAAAATACTGAAATATTTATTGCGAATCTTTTTAATTGTCATGCATTTATCTAGAATAGCTTATCAAAGCTACTTGGAATCTTTTTAAAATATTTCTTAGCTACATGTTGAGTAACAGAAATGCTATTTTCTTGCACTTTGGGCTGACATTAGGCTGGAATAGATGTACATTTCGTTGAAATTGATTTTTTACATTATTTCTATTGCATCCGGGGTCGAATCCATGAAGAAATCTATATTTATATGTGGGATCCGGTAAGGTTGGTGGAAAACAACTAATTTTATACTAAAAAGTGCTGCTTTTTGTTCTAAAGTCGATGATTATACTAGCTGTACTAGCCTTTGTTTACATGCACCAGCTGATAGGTCACGTGACCTCAAGGTAAAAGGTTCCACTTTCAAAGACGTAACGCTTCACATACTTATTTCGGTAAAAATATAGGACAAATAAGTTTAAATCTGAGTATTTCCAACGAACGATATAAATTCAACAACTAAACTTGTGCTTTGTTGGAAATTCATGCAACTCAGTCAGGAAAATTGCCTACTTCTTTACGAGTAATGTTACGTAACTGAAAAGTGATCGATGATTGCGCAGTGGGGTCTCTCCATTGTGTTGTGTCAGTTTGTCCTTTAGCTTCGAGTGTGTTGTTTGCGTGACTGACTCATTTCTTCTTTAACTTATCTCTCCCAAGGGAAGCCTTGTCGGATCCAGAAATGTCTTCTCCTAGCGCCGGCAAGAAGAGAATGGACACGGATGTTATAAAACTGTATCCTTTTTCATTTTCGGGACTGGGACTGTTACGTCTGTCGATTGAGATCTGATGTTTTTTTGTTTGTTCTCAATTTTCTTGACATCCTGTCTATGCATGACTCTTTAATTTGCTTTTTCTTCATGCTCTGCTCATGCAGTTTAACTCTGATAGGTGATTCCTGTGTATTATTACCATTAAGTCCCATTATGATAAGCTGTCTCCAGACTCCAGTCTCTCACATTGATGTCTGATGAATGTTGATGTGTTCTTATTTTTATATGTAATAATACTTAATATTGGTTTTAAATCAAACAGGAAAGTGTCATGAATGAAGAGTTTGACTGAGCATCATTGATGTTTAGAGAAACACTACCAACATCAGGAATAGTGACATATGACTGGATTTTTTCATCTATCCATTTCAGTAGGCGGAACTATGGTCAAGCGTACCCATTTTTGGGAACGCATTTTCGTTCCCATGTTTGGGAACGATAAACCCAAATATGGGAACGCCATGTAGGCATTATTTGAAACAAGAAAAAGAACCGTTAAATGACGTCCAAAAAATGTAAAACGATCGTGAACCGCCTGATATTTGTCTCAATATTGTTGGGAAAGAGTTTGATATTGTAAGGCCCATCGTAGTTTCAAATCGTTCCCCTATTTCTAAAGCAGTCCATCATCCGGGCCGCGAGCCCAAATTTGGGAACGCTCTCGTACACTGGCGCTGCAAGCGTTCCTTATTATGGGAACGGCGTACCCAAAATTGGGAACGATTTCACCGACGCCTTTCAGGGGCTCTTTTCACTAACAAGCATCACGTCCAACGCCACAAATTATTGTTAACGCAACAATCATCAGATGACCTTTCCGGCAAGACCGTCGCATGTTTCGCCCGGTCTTCTGCGCTTTTATTCCCATCGATCTCACAGCGGGCACGCCCCCCTCTGCAGAATTACGTAATTCACAACGCTCAGCGATGTTCAACAAGGTCTTCCATACCTATATCCACCGTCCGTGCCGAGGGTGGAGACATGTCAAGCACCTGTCTGTTTATCAACGATAGTTGACGAGTACAAGGAAGTATCCAAAAATGGGAACGCTGAATATGTTACACCCTCAAAAGGGTTCCATGACAACTGAACCAGTGACAACTGAACCAGGACAACTGAACCAGTGACAACTGAACCAGTGACAACTGAACCAGTGACAGCTGAACCAGGGACAACTGAACCAGTGACAACTGAACCAGTGACAACTGAACCAGGGACAACTGAACCAGTGACAACTGAACCAGTGACAACTGAACCAGAGACAACTGAACCAGTGACAACTGAACCAGTGGACCACTGAACCAGTGGACAACTGAACCAGTGGACAACTGAACCAGTAGACAACTGAACCAGTGACAACTGAACCAGTGACAGCTGAACCAGTGACAACTGAACCAGTGACAACTGAACCAGTGACAACTGAACCAGTGACAACTGAACCAGTATGACAACTGAACCAGTGACAACTGAACCAGTGGACAACTGAACCAGTGACAACTGAACCAGTGGACAACTGAACCAGTGGCAACTGAACCAGTGGACAACTGAACCAGTGACAACTGAACCACTAACCAGTAGCCCAGCGAGCAATTTTACTCCGGGCCCAAGCAGGCTGAAGTGCGGCTTGCCCGAGATTTTTAGTCGGGCTTAAGTCGGCTAGCGCTTGGGCTAAAGACTTAAGTCGGCGTATGACACAAAAACGCCGACTGAAGCCTATGCTCTGCCGGAGGTATGCCCTCTGGGCCTCTCGGCGAGCTCAGGACAGCCGTTGTTTAGCCCTAGTTGTGCGACGTTTGGCGTAAGCCCGATGTAAGCCCGAGCAGTGAATCCATTTATATACCGGAGATTCCTCTGGGTCCAGGCGGGCTGAACTCTGCCAAGCCCACGTTGCGTGCCCTGTCTGTCCCGAGTTAGGCCATCAAAGTGAATATTATTTATACGTTGCTAACTATTCGGGCGTCCCAGGTGGGCGTAACGGTTACCACACCAGTTCGCGACCACCAGGCTCTGTCAGCCCTGTCAGCCGTCGTACGGCTCTCGGACGGACACTCTAATAGATCGGACAGATCAATTGGCAGACCGGCAGACTGGCACAGACCGTCCGTCCAGCCACGCGCTACCTTATACCTATATAGCGCAGTGCGACATTAGTTGTCCACTGGTTCAGTTGTCCGCTGGTTCAGTTGTCCACTGGTTCAGTCGTCCACTGTTTCAGTTGCCATACTGGTTCAATTGTCCACTGGTTCAGTTGTCACTGGTTCAGTTGTCACTGGTTCAGTTGTCATACTGGTTCAGTTGTCACTGGTTCAGTTGTCACTGGCTCAGTTGTCACTGGTTCAGTTGTCACTGGTTCAGTTGTCACTGGTTCAGTTGTCTACTGGTTCAGTTGTCCACTGGTTCAGTTGTCCACTGGTTCAGTTGTCCACTGGTTCAGTTGTCACTGGTTCAGTTGTCCCTGGTTCAGTTGTCACTGGTTCAGTTGTCACTGGTTCAGTTGTCGCTGGTTCAGTTGTCACTGGTTCAGTTGTCGCTGGTTCAGTTGTCACTGGCTCAGTTGTCACTGGTTCAGTTGTCCCTGGTTAAGTTTTACTGGTTCAGTTGTCCCTGGTTCAGTTGTCACTGGTTCAGTTGTCTGCCTACCCCCTCAAAAGACCTAGTCCCAATGAAAATATAGTTTTTTCCTTTCTTAATGAGTGTAAGTGGCAAAAGGCCTGGTAGGATGGGCACGAGGAATGATCGAAATCAGCATAGAAATTATAAATAAGCCACACAGAGCGACCTATATAAGAGAAATTCCCCCAAAACGATCATGCTTAGAAACACGGAAGACAAAAACCACGCTCATGACGCTCCTTATTAAACAACGCTAAACCAGGGGCGGCGGATTCGGGGGGGCAGGGGGGCAGTTGCCCCCCCTGGCAAACTCGTGGGGGGGCAAAAGTATCTTTTTGCCCCCCCATAATTTGTGACAAAGCTTAGACAAGAAACCATATACCTGATTATTCTGTTCGATCATCTGAAAATGTAACCAGATGCCCATATACTTTATCATACGTTGCCTTTCTTAAAGGTAGTGTGCCAGCTTTGCTGGACCATATGGAGTTAATGGCCCAGATAAGGAGAACCGGATTTTTAGAACATATCCATACCTTCAAAACTCATGGAAACGTCTTAAATTCTTCAAATTTTGAGTACCCCAGTGCGAAATTCGCCCCGACGGGTTGTCGGTCGTACCCCAACCACATTTCACACCACTATGAACAATAAATGCACACACTGAAATCGCTATTACCGATATGCTCATCCAATCAAGTTTCGATAAACCCGTTCATCATCATCTTCTGCGGTTTCGAACACGCCTGTTAGGTGGTGCGGTAGACCGCGCCCAAAGCCAGGGCCCCGGTAACGTGAGGTAGCCGAGTCGGGGCAGCGTGCGCTGACCCAAGCCGGGGCCGCGCGTCCTCCCGGTGTCATGTGATAGCCCGGGGCTGCCCGCGGGGATGCGGCAGACCGCGCCCAAAGCTGCGGCCCCGGCTTGGGTCAGCGCACGCTGCCCCGACTCGGCTACCTCACGTTACCGGGGCCCTGGCTTTGGGTGCGGCTTCTGCTCATGCTTTGTGGTGCGGTGGTGGTGCGTCGGGCCGCGCGCTCTGACTTCGGCCAAAAAAAAATGCGTCAGCTGATCATTGTCATTTCTGCCACTTGCGTGTGGTGAAATTGGGTCATAACTTAAGAGACGGCTTTTTCATATCAATTATTTTACATAAAATCATATTTCAAACCATAAATAATGTTCGACAGCCAAATAAAAGAAACAATACCAATACAGGCTTACAGTTTAAGGCTCGACATTGTGTTGTCTACGATTAGACAGCTGATAACTCATTCCCGTACGTCGTAACTCGTAACTCTGTAGTGACCGTTGCTTATTGTCACATGTGCGCCGCATTCGCGATTGTTGCCGACGCCTGTTTGCAGCTCAGCCCACTACAGTTGTTATACATATCGAAAAACCGATAAACTTTTAGGCGAAAAAGGCACTATTCCAGGCCCATTTTTGATTTTTTTTGCGATATTAGGTAAAAACAGCAGCTTCTTATCCTAGGAAAAATAAAATGGGAAATCTTTCAAAGGTGGCACACTACCTTTAAATGGCAAGCGTTAACGTTCAATTGAAGTTTTCCGCTCTTCAACCTAGTTTTGGAGGCATTATAAGCGTCAACGTGAAGCAGTGGCAACCCAGGCCTTCAGTGACCGCTTACAGGGACGACGGATACGGGGTGGCAGAGGAGGCATCGTTCCCTAAGAAACTTTTGGACGAGGGGCAAACGTATATTCTTGCCCCTCCATAATTTGTGCCCTAAACATGAGGAAAATTTCCATAACCTGATATTGCAGCTAGCGCTCCTACAGTTTGTCCAACGGTGCCTTTTGAATATGTGTAAATGCTAACCATTTCCGCTTTATATCATTTTGTTTTTGTCTTTTCAGATTCGATTTATAGATGTGTGCAAGTGACGCAACTCATACCTTCAGTGGTCGTTTGCCTCTATGTTGTGCCTACATAAATGCCAAATCGCAAGCGAGCGGAGACGGAAGGGCTAGGCATTCGCTTGCGGGTAGTTAGGACTGATGAGCGCTCATAATAAGCCACTCCCCCGATTTTTTCGAGCGCAACAGTTTCCAGCGCATAAAATGGTAAACGCCGAGGTCGTGCACATTGACGACATTGACCAATGCACGGTATGGTATGACACCCAAAGGCCGGTCATCAGAGATCTGCTTTGGGCATTCGGAGGCTTGTGTGGGGCCAGTGTAAAAACTGGATGTTCACTGTTCAGTATCCGCTTTATTTCAGTTTTCACTATTAAAAAAGTAAAAATTAATGTTGGAAACTTTTGAGGGTTAGGGCACTGATCATTAGTGGGCCCCCCTCTGTCTAAAGGCTGACTATAGAATAAA